TAATCTATTCATAAGGCCTTTCTGCTTTTGCTATGACCAAAAAATGCGAATGAGTTTTTTCTAGAGGTATTAATTTGTTGATTGAGGCTATTACTATTAAAGTAACAGTAGTCCTACTATAACAGTCATAACTCAGTTTTCATTAAAATATGGAATAAAAGACAGTCTCTGTCATAGCTGTCTTGCTTTGGTATTCTAATTATAAATACTGTTCTCTCTTCATAAGCCTAAAAGGGGGGAGGTTTGGCTTTGAGCTTCTTGTAATGGCTAATGTCTAATAATTTTATTGAGAACGTGGGCTAACCATCTACTCCTTCATCAGCAAATCATGCCAATAGTAGGTGAATTCTCAGAATTCCCTTTGTTTCTCTCTGAAATTTCAGATTAAAAAAAATAAGTTGTCATTTGTATTGTAAATGTGAATATAGAAATAAGCTGCATCCAATTGCATTTTTTAATATGTAAGCTAATATATGTATCCAAAAAGCAACATCTTTTTATGCAGTCCATTATGTAAAATATTCTAATTGAATATTTAATTTTAGCCAAAGGAGCTAGTTATCCACTTAAAATAATTTAATTTAAAATGTATTGAATTAGCATGATTTCACCTTCTTTAAAGGAAATGCAGATGTCTCCCTGTGTGATAGATACACTAGCATCAAAATACAGTTTTCTGTAATTAAGTGCATTTGTCTGAACTTCAGGCCTCCAAGATGCACTCACATAAAATATGCTTTAGAAGAAATGTGGATGTTCAGAAAGATACTTACATACATATTGTGCTTGAAGTATGGGAGTAACTCTTTTCAGGAGGGCACTAAGGCATGTGCTTTGCCTGCAAAAATGTGTGCAAATACTTTGCTGAATCAGGAGTCAGCTTTTCAGACTACTAGCAAAACTTTTATTCTGACTGGAGCATAAAATACCTGCCCTTTATGGAGTGCATTTTAAGCATTAGGTTACAACGTTATCAAATCACAGTATACTCTTTCCCCCTGGGCTGATGCTTTGAATCATTTAAAAACACTGGAACTTCTTTTTCCTGTTGCACTTAGGTACTGAAACTTGTCCTGGCGTTGAACCAAAGAAAGAAGATAAACAGCTGAGCACTAGTTCTGCCGGTGTAAACAAAACTGAGAGACAGACAGAGGCAGCAAGCCTGTGGGTAGCTGCAGGAAGGGACCACATGGAGGAGCAGCACTGCAGTGCTGAATCAACACTGGAGCCACACACCCAGTCCACGGGGACAGTGGGCAGGCCTCCTTCGGGCTGTTTATCGCCTGGGAATGCCGGTAAAGATAACAGTTTGCAGCTGAGAGAAAGACAGCTCTCTGAGGATGCGGAAAAAATAGAAGGCACAGCTGGGGAGCCTGGAGTGAAACTCCCTCTTGAGCCAATAGTAGATGCTTTGGTTTTAACAGATGCTGATTATATGCCTACAGATTTGGTTCCTACTGATAAAGATGTGCAAGCTGATAGAAATCTGCTCAGATCAAGACATGCAGCTGGCTCTTCAGAAGGAGTTGCTAGTGGCCAGCTTGGAAAGCGTGATTTAAAGCAGCAACAGGAACAGCCTGACGATGATGATAAATCTTCACAGGACAGAACTGCATCAAATGTATGCTCCGGGTGTAATAAAGTATCTGAGCATGAGAGTACTGCCTGTTCACAGGTATGCAAGGAAATACAGAGAACAGCAGGACAGGAGGAGAAGGTAAATAATGAAGAACAAGAAGATTTATTTCTCAGATTTCTAAATGGTAACATAATAGACACTGAAGAATCATTTGCAAACTTAGCAAACCAAGAGGACTTTGAGACTCTTCCAGATATTTCACCTGAACAAGCATCTTACAACTCACTGGAAGCTTTATCACTAGATGACAGCTTTTCTTCTCTTGATGAACTTGCAAGAAGGATAGAGGTTGCTGAGGTAAATACTGTGAGTCCTCTAAAATCTTCTATGTTTATTTCAACTGAAATATTTTAGATATTGCCAACTCCAAAATATGTTAAATATTACTTCGGATATCGGTCTTTTTAATCTGGAAAGAAATCTCTACTTGTTTAATTGTTCTAATTCAGAAAAAAGTTTCTTTTTGCCTGTTTGCAGCCTCCTTGACCAGCAGTGCTCTGTGTTTCTAAAACTTAGACTGATTTTTACATATGAGTATGACCACCTTTTTTTTTTTTTATTCTGACACACACTGTTAGGACATGGCCTGACAATTCCTGTTGAATAACAATTCATATCAGAGGTCTGCGTAATACCTATGACGTGGTTCGTTTCTACTCATAGAATAAAATTTGCTTTTCTGTGCCTATTCAGTGTAGGTGAGAACTACATATGTCATAAAGTCTGTATATGAATGTATGGGCTTCTAATTTTGCCAAGTTTAGGCAGTTTTGTTGTTCAACTAAGAAAGAACTTCTAAGTGTGAACCCACCTTCTGAAGCACTGCTGATAGGCCACAAGAAGGATGAGTGCTTCATAAGATAAATTGTTCTTCTGAAAATATAGATTTACTGCTTGGGACCTTTTTGGAGAAGGTTTAATAAACTTCACTTTATTTGTCTTCTGGTTTTGGTACATTTGCAACCATGAGCCCTTAAAAGCTTTTTCTTTAAATGAAAAAATGAGATTATTGTAAAATGATGTGATTCCAGATGCTGGAGGGGGAAGACTTGTAAAAGGTATCTTAGCTCATCTCTATTCTTAATGCATGTAATAATACAACATGCCATGGCAGTAAAGTAACAGTACTTCTCTGTAGATCAAGAGCTGATGCACGGAGACCAAGAACCCACAATCACTCAAGGACAGCAGCCGAGCAGGGGACTAAATGCTGGAGATCCATGCTGGTGTTATTACATGTTTGGCAAAATCTCCAGAGCTGGAGACAGAGCATTTTGGTTTTTCTCCCTACCTAAATTGCTTCTTACTTCCTTTCTAAGATCATTCATCCTGACCTGTCCTTAAAACAGCTTGTTTTTTTGTGGGATGTCAGAAACCATACCACATACCAGGACTGAGGGCCATGTGCATGAAGCTGTACACAAGCTCTTAACAACACACAGATGTGGAACCCACATACATGTTCATACATGCAATCAAACTTTTGCACTAGAGCCACTGGCATGTGTTCACTTAGAGGATGGTTTTGAAAAAGAGCTTTTTGTTGAGAGTCTGGCTCAGCCTATATACATGTATAACATAAGAGTAATTTAAATATCATCCCTTAGGATTAGATTTCTTTCGAGCCCACTGAAAGTTCAGCATTTTAAACTACAGGAGAGAATTGTTCTGTTTCATGTACAAAAATCCTAAATTAATCCTATAGCAACTATTTTTAAATTGCTCTGTGTGCCATGTGCATTTTAGAGGATGGGATAGGAAGCAGCATATCGATAGCGTTAGAAAAATTATGCTTGGATTGATTGGCCCAGTGACTGATGATGGTGCTTTACAGGGAATCTAATTTCATTTCTAGTTTGCTATCCCGATGCTAGGATGGCCAGTTGAGTCTCTGAAGAGTCTTTCCATAGTACTTTTTCTGGCCATATAAGGCATCATGTTGGCTGGCACTGGTGGGAGTCGTCTTAAGTCATTCTTAGCAAGAGGCCTGAGTTGTGTGTGAGGCAGGGGGCTTAAATCAGGGAGAAGAGAAGAAGGATTAATCTCAATACAACTAAAATCTGTAATATGCAGCATCTGGGGCTGTTTTGCAACACCTGAAATTTCTAGATGCAGCATGGTGAGTTAAAGACAGCACAGCAACTTGTATTGTTTGATTATACACATATATTTTGTTTTTTCCAGTTAATCTTACCACCTACCATTACCCTACCATTATTCCAGTGGTTGCTTTTCAGAAGTGGTGAGCACCCACAGCTTCCAGGGAAGACACCCCGAATTGAGAGAGGCTGGCACCCCTGAGAAAGCACCACTGTTAACTTGCTTTCACTGATTTTGTTTCAGTGCTAAAAATATGATTCCACTGATGTTTTGACAAGCAGACTGATCTTTGCACCCAGCCGTAACATTTCTTATTTTCTTGTCCTCTTGAAGCCTTTGAAGTTGCTTTGTTTGGGCTGCTGCTATCTAATAACAAAGTTTTCATACAGTAATTGTGTAAGAAGTACCTAGAAAATGCATTGGTGGGCATGTGAATGAAATGAGTTACATGAAATGTACCAGTGTGACAGGAAAAAAAAAAAAAAAACAAAACATAAAACAATACGACTGTGATAAAACTTGTCATGGAGTGAGTATTAACAAAATTGCCACCAATATGTAAGAATGGAAAGCAGAAATAAAGATCATTTTTAAATAACCTAGGTACAAAAGTCATATGGTAGGACAAAAGTTCATTAATATTCTTCAATGGAGGTGTAGTATTGCTTTATTGGAAATGGGGAAGGGTAAGTTATAGTTAGGAAGTTTTGTTTGACTCCATGTAGAGATCAAAGAATCATCGTATGTAGTGCTCTAATTTAGATCCTTTATGACACTTGCTTTTGACTACCATTTACGAAGACTAATTACAAGACTGAAAATCCACTGAATTCTGATTCTGGCTTTAAATAATTGCAAAACTGAAATAGTACGTTACATATTGTACAGTCCCTAGTACTGGGTATTTCTTCACTAGTACAAACTGCACGACAAAGTGCAAATGATGGGAAATCACTGTCATTTTATAGGAACTAGATCCATGCAGCTAACAAAGAGCTTTGAAGCACAGTCAGCAGTTGGCAGCAACAGATATCAGAAGTGTATAACCTCTTCTTGAATCTCTTTGCTGTCATTTCTGTGAGAATGAAATGACACACCAGCAGTCAAACAAATTGTAACCTCAATAATGTAAGTTGCATCTTGCTATATGAAATAAAAGTTTATATCATAAGCTTTTTATCTGAGTGGGAAATGAGTAAAATCTTAATGTTTTTCCTTGTTCAAAAATTATAAATTGAAATTTCTTTCAGAAAGCAAAGATAGTGAGACTTTCTACATCTCTCTACAAAAGGTAGTAGCTTTTGGTTGGCACTATTTGTACACCACGACTTTTAAAAAGTACTGAGTATGTACTGACTAGCAGCTGATTTGACTGCAGAAATGAAGTCTCCACCTACCTACTAGTTCTGCAGACAATGCCTTGTTGAGATCCTGTGTTCTCTTGTATGGCTTGGGTCCTGTAGTTTTAAGTTTGCAAGAACTGTGCTTCAGTATGAAATGCTTACGTGGTATCTGAGATATTTATTGCTGTATAAAGGAGCTCTGGTACTTGCCTGGTAAGCATAGCCACAGAAAAATGGTTAGAGTCTGATGCTGCGGTACGAATACTGAATCTGCTAAGTTAGCTCCTTTTCAATGTCAAATTATTCATGTATCTAATGTATTTTATTAGCGAAGGGGCTTGTCTGCTGCTTACAGCTTAACCCAGGGCAGTCCTGCTTTTTGTCAGTTTGTCGTACAGTTAATGGATTACCACTTGAAAAAAATCTTGTATTGCTAGAAATAAAACTGTAGGCCTTTGCCAAGTAACTGAATAAGGAATACAGCCCACAGAAAAATACACAAACAAAACTCCTCCTTGCGTAGTTCTTTGCATTCAGACCAAAATACTTCATGCAATGAACTTTTCTTCCTAGATCCCAGTTTTCAGTGCCTCCAGTTGTGGGGGTTTAATTAATTTCTGTATGCTATGAATTATTCCAATAGTCAAGTTTACCTGTTTTCTCTAAGAGCTTGAAGTACCTCAGGACCTTATTTTCATAGTTTTGTCTAAAATGTTTATAAATATGTACATACTTCATGTTGCCTTTCTCTAAGGCGCGCGGTGGCCCGGTTCAGGAACGGCACGGCAACCAATCCCAGGTTCCGTGGTCCATCAGCACACATACACCAATATGGTGGAGGCAAATGGCGTTTATTGTTAGGTTACATTGCCTTATATAGTCTAAGTCTACTTCGTCACTTCCGCCTGCTTACATTAAGGGTCCATGTCTCTTGGTTATAGGGAGGGAGGCTCTACCTTTCCCTACAACGCGGTATCTTCCGGTCGCCGGACCCCAACTGCCACAACTTCATATTTGGCAAAAACATGTATAATGTAAGATATTTTAAAATAAATATTTTCTTAGCAAATGCTCTTTCAAACAAGCAGGGAAGAGACAGTTGGTTTCATTAGAGCTTATTTTTTCTAATTTTGCAGACAGGATATTAAACTTTATCCAAAAAATTTTAAAACTTTCCTGTGAAGCAGAATCACTTTGTATTAACAGTGGTAAAAAGAGAAAAACTAAAATATTTAACAGAGTTTAAATTGACCAACAGTCATTGCTGCTTTCCTTTTTGACCGTTGGTCAAAATGCCACCACGTACCTGTTTGCCATTTTCGGTTCCTGTACATTAATTATAAAAGCTCTGGTCAAAAGCTTTTGTGAAGGCCAGCAAGGCTGAGTAAGTTCAGTTACACAGATGTTCCAATAGCATCTCTTGTTAATTCTCTAACTTAGTATTAAGAAAATGTTTGAAGTTTCAGTAGGGTCCTTTATGCAGCTCTTTTATGTAACACAGAGCTGTTTGCAGGGCAACCTTGTGCAAGCCTACATTTCTCCTCCTGGGGTTCAAGTCAAGCAGAGGCTTGACTTGTGGTCAGCTGTATTAACCGCAGTTCCCTCGTTAACTTCCAATTTACATAATGTATTCTGCCTTTTTAAATTCCTCCTGCCTCCTAAAGACTGGGATGAAAAACTTCGTCTTGCATGGCAGCTAAGTCCCTCTCCTTGGATGTTTAATTAATGGGACATGGATCTAATTGAATCAGTTTGTACGTTGCTTTGAAATCTTTTGAAATGAAAGGTACAGTAGAAAAATACATTTACAGTTGTTTTAATTCAATGAGATTTTAGTTGTAGCAAGACAGACCCTAGTTTTACGTGACAGTCTGTCTTACAGTTATGGCATTTTTATGGCTGAAAATAAGAAAAATAAAATGTGGTGATGTTTGCATTAAATATTTTTGAGCTACAGTTGAGAATATGGTAGAAAAGAAGGTGTAAATATTGCTTTATGCAGAATTTCACATTTGTATTTGCATTTTAACAATAAACTGTATCCTGATTAGGAAGCATAGCTTTGTAGGCCTTTTGCAGAACAAAACAAAAACCTTAATTACATGACTCGTGAACTTTAAAGGCAGATGAAATATTCTAAGTAGGAATTACATACCTTGTAAAGGGGACATTCGTAAAAATATGGTCTATGGCTTTTTTGGGGACAGGAGAGTTAACACGAGCCACGGTGATTTTATTATAAAATCAAAGCCCTTGCTCCCCTCTTTTTGAGCAAAAGATGTTGAGAACAGAGAACATACGTGCTGTGTTGATTAGTTCTTTATACATTTAGAAGTAAATCCTGAACACAGCCAAATAGGCTGGCAGGGAAAGGAAGTGAACCCCGTTGTAGCAAGACTTTCCTTTTGTAGCAAGCATTTTACCTAACTGTAATCACTGAAACTCACGCTTCCACATAATCCCATCAAAGGTAGTCCTCTGGTTTTAAGCTTGGCGAAGACAGAGCTTGTGACACAGTCATTCAAAAACTACCAAGAGCCAACAGCCAAAACGATGTGCCTTGGTTTGAAAAGGCTGCTGTTGGAGTGGACCACCACCTGCTGCTCTCAGGGCAGACTGGAAGTGGCGCCCCGCCGTCCCTGGGTGGCATTCCCACCAAGTGCAGCCCGAGCTGCCTGCGAACACGCGTGCCAGGGCTTGGGGCACCCTCATTACAAAAGCCATGCTGTACACAGGAGCTTAAAATAATCTACTCTTTTTAGAGGACATCATTTCATCTCTGTCCTCCTAAACAAATAAGTCAAATTAAAGCACTCCTACACAATCCCCCTTCCTTGTCACAACAAGGAAGCATAAGTGCTGATTTTTGGCTGAGCTAATAAATTTTCATGGCAGTTCTGCCATGTAAATCTGTACGTTACCAGTAGAAGCTTCATCTCAGTGCACTTGTCTGTTGTGATGAGACACTTGCGGGCTACTATTTCTGGTTCATTTATGCCAAATAGTGGTCCTCCATATGTTGACTTAATTTCTTTCCACCACCTCCACGCTTTCACTACTTTGTAAGTACTTCGTTGCATTATTTCATTGAATAATCCATTCAAGCTCTTGAGCAGGTAAGCAAAAGGGAAAGTGACTATCAAAAAAGAAAGTGTGGCAGAGATCAGTTTTATCCCCTCAGCTGTGATTTTGGGGAAAACAAGGCTGCAGGCATATACCCACAGTGACCAACTCTGTGAGTTGTTCAGGGCAACATTATTTGGCCAATTGAGGGCTATAAAACAGTGCCAGACTAGAAACCTGCAAATGTAATTGCCACATTTACCAGTTAAAGTGTTGCAAACGCCAGTGCCATAGTTGGGGCAGTGCCTATTGGATTGTGCTCTGCGTTTGGCTGTGTTCAGTGCACCGTCTCTCCAACTGCACTACGCGTCGATGCATTATATAAGCTTGTAGCGTGAAGCAAGTTTAGGAGCATAAGTTACAAAGTCACTTTTCTGTTTTTCTACTGCTGTTATAATTTCAATGCAGATGAGTTTTTATGTATGGCCTTCTAACTTGATTCAATTATGGGCGGAGTTAAGCAGTCAGTTGTCTGCAACTATGGTGTTATCTGGAGCATTGCCTTTCTTCCACTTTGAGTTTTTGTAAAAATTAAAGGCATTTGGGGTCATCTACATATATGAGTTGCAAACTCAGTTGCAAATGTGATGTGCTTTCTTGTCCGTAGCACAAATGTATACAGATTACTTTGCAATTTAACAGATGTTATTGCTGATCTGCAGAATAAGTTTTAAGAGTGCTACTCAGATTTATGAAGAGATGACTAAGACTTTTTTTCAGGTAAAGATGATCTCAAGATAAAAAGGGGCATGTCTAAATATACTTCCTATTTTAATTTCTGCTTATTTCTAGCACACCGGGAACTGCTTGCTTAGGAAAGCATTTTTCTCCTGGTACTTCTACTTTCATTTCTCTTCTAACTAGGAAATTACAGACTGCTTAGGCTGCTATAACATCTTAGTATGGCTTAGCAAATACTCTTGCAGCTAAGCCAAATGCTGTAGCAAAGGAAAAAGAAGTTTCCATTTATTGACTTGTTGACTGTATCGCTGTTTGTGCAAACTGTTTGGGTGACCAGCCTGTAGGGAAGGACTTTGGAACTCCGGCTGCATCCAGAGCGTTTATTACAAAGTGGAGCTGGAATCTATCCAGAGCACTGAGGCTTGCTTTTTCCTGCTGTTATCTCTTTTTGGTTTTGTGTCCCCACTGTAGCTTGTTGTCCACTCTGGGAAACCAATTGCAACACTGGGAAATGAATCTCACAATAAGTATTTGATAGTCTCTGCAGGATTCTATCTTTGGAGAGGCAGCAGCAGTGTGTCACTGACTCCTTACTGTCCTCTGATGATGGGGTATTTGGTGCGAACCCTCACCACTGCCCCAAGCCCTGTGATTTAATAATGTGAGCTTACAGAGGAGCTGTTGCAGGGAATACAAAGTATGATCCAAACAGTAAATGTATGTGTATTTAACTTTGATAGCAATTAAGGGCAAGTAGTGTCAGCATACAGCAGAATGATACTGCTGCTGTCCTGCACGTTAAGGAGTTGATGTATTCGAGAAGGAGGTTTCACAAGTGCTGAAACATTTAAGAAGAGTGGAAACCATTTTTTAACTGTTTAGCTAATTTCCTCCTTAAAGTCATTCTACATAGATCTCATGCCTGGATTTCTTACACCTCTCGTGCCACTTGCTGTCTTTCCTGACAGATTGCCCCAGCAGAAGGATTGGTGTCTATACTAAAGAAGAGAGATGATAGGGAAGGAAAAACAATTGCTCAAGTACGGCAGAGGCAAACTAAGAGAAGAGTGCGATTCCAAGAAATGGAAGACACATTGGATCAAGGTAACTTAAAGCTGTTAATTCATGGGTTGTACTCTTGGGGTGCAAATGGTGTTGATCTTTTTGTTCACAAGAGCAAAGTGAGCGTTCATTGTGCAAACTGTCTTGGCTTTTAAAAACTTAAGTAGTAAGTGAAGGTGATTGATCAAAGATTGTTCTATACCAGGTTTGGATAACAAGGCTACAGAAAGATACAATAAGTACACTTCTCTTTTAAATCTTGGTTGAGACTGAAGCCACAGGTTTTTTCCTTTGGCTGAATGATTTGCAAGTGACATCTAATGGGTGACCTTTCATTAATGTTTAGAGATTAGAGGTGGGAAGTGCAGGCTTGCTCTGTAAACCTAATCCATGTAGGTAAAGAGGAGGGCAAAAGAAACAAGTATCTTGTGCTTTATCCACAAGTAGCTTTCCAACCCTTTCTAGTAGGTCATGAGATTGGAGGGTGTCAGATTTTAACCTTGCTTTATAATTAAACATCCATATATATTTGCTAGCTGTCATTACATTTGGCTAAACACCTTTCTGCCTTTTTGATGGGCTAAATAGCCTCATAAGAAATACAATATGTTATTTAGTTATGCTCTTCTTGGAGTTTAAGATCTCTCTTATTCAAACAAAAGATATAATAAGAAAAATATTTTTGGTTACTAATGATAGTACTTTCTATATCTACTGTGTGCACCAGCCACTAAAAGGTATTAATGCAGGTCTTTAGAGATTAAAAGCGTATTAAGTGCATCTCACACACTGAAAAGATAATCCATTTGCTGCTCGAAAGGGAGCTTATCCCACCTTTTTCTTGAAATTATTTTGAAACAATTCATCTTTTAAATCAAATTTCAATTAGAGTTTCTTCTATAATTTTTTCCCCAGGGATTTAGTGATTCAGAAGGAAAGTTGTTTATTATTATTACAATAAATCTGATTTCAAGCACACAGAGAGTCCCTAAATGTTTCTTATTTTTTGCTTTTCCCCTGTTTCTTCTCCCTGATGTAGAGTGAAGGGAGTTCAGAAATTTTCTTAGAGCCCCTTCAACCTGACAGAAGATGCAGATGTTGTTCATGCATACAAGTTACCAAGGACAAGTGAGGTTGTGAGGATGTAGCAGCACCTCTGCAACCTCTTTATTGCTCTTACTCTGGAATAAACAATCATTCAAAGAGTTACCACAGAATAACTGAGATATAAAATAACCCTTCACATTAGCCTACCCTGAAGGTTTTGTTTCTATCCTTACAGTCAAAACGTAAGAGTAAACACAAACTGTTCATGGTAGCACAGTCAATGTCAGTAGAAATGATGCAAGAATGTTTCCGTTTTTGGTTTGGTTTTGTTTTTGTTTTTTTAGTTTCAAAGCTTTCATTTCATTTTAACTATTTCCATGAAGGAGGGCTTTGGTTGTGGGACGTTCTTACAGTTAAGTGAATTTTCCTTCAGTGTAGAATGACTCCACAAGTGATATCAGCAAGGACAGGTACACGGGTTGCAGAAATGAAGCTATGTAATTATTCAGGTTTCTGAAAAGACTGGGTAGAGAAACGTACAGTTCCTGGTATGTATTATGGTCACTTGGACACAAGTTACTTTAAACGTGTTTACCTCCTATCTCGGATTTTCTCACACATGTTCACAGTGCTTTGTATATTAGTGTTTTTCACCTCTTCTGGTCTTTTATTTACAGATGAAGTAGCTGGTGGCTCCTGTGTTTTGCTGATCCTGCTGTGCATAGCAACTGTTTTCCTTAGCATTGGAGGAACAGCACTGTACTGCACCTTTGGTGACCTGGAATCCCCTGTGTGTACTGATTTGGCAGCCAACACGGATTTCTATTATACCCAGATATTGCGGTGTATGGAAGAACTTAAACACTGGATAGCCTTCTCATAGTTGAACTGCGTGGAGACAGCACATTGAGAGCTCAGCAGTGGTGACTGGAGAGGGTAGAAATAAATTGTGATTTCAAATTCTCTAACACTTGCCACCTGCAGGTGATGTGTATTTGATGATGTACTTACGCTTTTACTTAGAAATCAAGAAAATTCTAGTTTAGCAATCAGGTGGCAAAATGTTCACATCTTAAACTGTAGCAGTGTGGTAATGGGAGAATAAAAAGTTATTCTTTTCACCCTTTTGAGAGTAGGCGAGTAGCTTTTCAACAACGTAAGCAAGTGAAGAAGAAAGAAGAAAATCAACTGTCTTCTGCGTGCTCTCCCATTGCCACACATTGTGTAAGCAATCTCTGGAAGCTTAGTAAAAGGACAGCTTTAATTTACAGCTGTTTGTGCAAAGGTGTTGCCTCCAGCTATCACGCAATAAGTCTGTGTTTTATGGAAACATTATTTTTCTTCTGTCTTACTATTTTTCTCCATTTTAATTCTCCTGATGAGCCATGTAATTATTTGGGTGGAGTGAGAAGAGTGCAGCAGCATTCACGGAGCCCTCATTTGGTGATTAACAAGCTGACCCTGTATCTTACAGAGTGGGATAAATCTGCTGGCAGATTTCACTAAATTTCCTGGAACTTTACGCCCAGTATTGTGTGGGCTGTTTTAGAAATGGAAGGTTAAAAGAGAAATCACTGGTCTCACTAAAGACAGAAACAAAAGTAAGATGTTTATTAAATTATTCGTGTTAAATAGTAAAGTGGCTTTGGCCAATTTTAAAGCACCTGGTAGCAGGTGTGGGGCTAACTGGGTTTTCTATCCAGCTATGTCACTGACTTGCAGTAATCACTTTGTGCCTCAGTTTCACCTCCATAAATGGGGAATAATGATCCTTGCCTTTGTCTGTGAATATTTATTGCAATTAGGGCTCATGTCTGATTCATCCCAGATGAGCGCAGAGGATCACTGAATCGCGTGGCTGCAGCCTCTCTCAGTGAGTGAATGCTTGTGTAAAGTGGGACTGCTCCAACAGAAGAGATTCAGAGGCTCACTGCAGATCCACGGCCTGTTAGTAGTCCAGGGCATTCGTTCTGGCAGATAAAAGCACATTGGCATCTATTTGCCCTGCAGTTCTGAGACTTGCATTGTAAAATCAGTTCTATTTCTAGCAGCTATACAAAACAAATCTAAATCAGTACAAAGACTCATTTTAAATGGGTATTTCTATCACTTGGTGCTCAGCCCTCCCTGTGTGGCATGTGAGAGAAACACTGAGATGATGGTGAAGGTGAGAATTAGATACACAGGCCTTTGGCCCACACTCTGGTCAAAATGTGGCAACTGTTCTTGCACCGGGCATAATGGCCCATCCCTGCTGAAGGTGTTAGTGGGAAACGATTCCTTTACACCTCAGGAAACAGCATTTTTGAGGGGTCCACTTCACTCCATGATTTCCTGCTTACTAACGTTGTATGATGCAGTGTGTTCAGGTTTAGAATATTATTTTGTAAAATACTATGAAGTAAAATCTTCAAGACATTGCTCAGAATTATAACATTAAATTATCGTGCTTTCTGGCATTTGCAAGCAAATTGTCCCTCTAGTGAGCTTGATTGTTCCTAACGCACTGTTATACTTAACGGGTTTTTAAAGTGAAAGGTAAAATCACGTTTTTTTTCTAGAATAAATTGCATGTATGATTTCTCTTTTTGTTTTCTCTGCAGAGGCTTAGTTTCTTTTATACCTTAGGAAGCCTCATGTGCAGCTTTATATTAACCTAGCAAATTTTAAATGCCCAAATTAATGAAAACTTTTGTTTTCATAATGAAACTTGAGAACGGTAGTTTGGTATATTTTTTGTTTGTTGTCCTCAGAGTATTATAATGCTGGGCTAATCTAAAGGAGAAAGGGAAAGACACTTTCGTATTTTAAAGTCTTACTGGCTGGTTCAGTTTATTATTTGAAATCTGGGTTTGTTTATTTATTTAGTTTTTCTTTTAAAGAGACTCTTCATTTTCTTGTTCGGTCATTTACTCACAGAGTAATTAAAAAAAAAGCATGCATTCAGTTAAAATATGTATTTATAGTGACTATGTAGTTAGAATATGTTTTAGGTTTCTGTAACTTTGCATTGAGTGTTTCAGGATATTAAGTTTATTCCTAAAGAGACAACTGTTGATTTCAGCTTAAAAAAATCTTTTTAGGTTTTTGTGCACTTCATCATCAAAAAGATCAAGAGGTATATATAGAACTATTTATTCAAAAGTATATCAGATAAGGAGATCAAAGATCCCCTACTTCTAGGTTCATTTAATTAAAACTATTTTTAAATAATTATTTTATTTAAAACTGTAAAGCTATTTAAAGTTAAATCAATTTTTAATAAGCAGTTCAGTTTAAAATCAGTGGTCCAAATCCTGGTACGTCTGCTTTGTGCTATATTCCCAGTGCAAAGACTCACTAGTAGCAGCAGAACTGCCTGCAAGACCACCAAGAGGTTGGGCACCACTTTACCAACACGTACCCAATGAAGAATGAGCGGCCAGGCGTTCTGTCTAACTTGGCTACCTTACACTTGTCTTGTAACTTGGAGCATCTCTCCAGCCTTCCCACCCTATGCCAAGGTACCACACCTGCAAAGTCTCTTGGGGTTTGCAGGAGCGGAAGGGGCACATACGCACAGGCTGCCCAGCTCCTGATCTGAGCTGTTCACTCCTCAGTTGCAACCGAGTGGTTGAATCTGGACGTAATTTCTGTTGGCGTTCCTTTATAAAAAGCTGATGCTACTAATTCTTGCTTCATATGACAGTTCTGTTAGTGCAAATAGTTTGCATGGTCTGTAGTACATTATCAAACTTGCAGCTACCAACATAACAAAATTTGCTTTGCGTTAAACTCCAGAGAATGTGCAGGTAGGCCTGATGTTGTCTTTCCTATGTACTCTGTTCTCTTTAGATTGCTGGTGGCATTGCTTCCACCTGGGTGACTTTAGGGGTTAGAATCTTAGTCAGGTAAAACAAAGCTAAAAGAAATAGTTGATTTGAACAATTATTCCTCTTGTCTGAGTATTCTGAGGTAAAATAATACTGAGCAACAGCCAAGATTGCTACAAGGAGGAAGAAAGCAGAGGGGAAAAGGCTTTTTATTTTTCCCCCCTTTGTGCATTTTAAAGCCCTTTGTGTATGTCTTTTTATTTATTCTGTTTCCTTCTCTGCCACTGTCTTTATGGCTCTTCTGCTTGGCAGTAGGGGAAACATACTATGCCAACATAAAACAATTTGTAGCTGGTAGGGAAATTCAGGGAATGATTCAGTACTTGACAGTAGTTAAAAGTCATTTCTTAAAATATGACTGCATTTCAGGCTGATAGTGTACCTTCATATCACCTTACCACTTAAAAACAAAACAAAACAGAACAACAAAAGCCAAAAACACAACCACTTAACATACTACGTAATCACTTGCAGCATTCTACTAGAAACCCAACCTTCCAGTTTGTTCTTTGAGCATAATTATTTTGAAAACATTCTTGTGGTAGAGCAAAACCAACAAGACACTTAATGTAGATTCAGCACAGGCTGCCAAAAAGAGCTTTCTGATGACATAATTAACACCCTCACCCCAAATAGCCTAGCGTACACCAAGAAAAGCGCTGTGCCGTAGCATAGCCACACTATACTACAGGCTTGTTTAAAAAGCAGCGTCAGTATGGAAGCAGATATTCCACAGCCCAGATATGCCAGCAGAAGTTTGCAATCTAGACACAGCCCGTGTTTTAAAATTTTTCCAATGTCTTTCCTTTCATACTTGGAAAATGCATAGCCCTGGTGGCAAGCAGTAGGAAGCAGTCTAAGAAAAAGGGAAACTCTGGCTTAGGGTTTTCGGGAGTAAAGGGCGAGCTTGAACTATCAAATAAGCAGAGTAGATTGGAAGTCCAGATTCTTGTGTGACTGGGTACTATTCCACTCAATAACTTCAAGGGATGTTACCTTCCTAAGAGAACATGTTTGCCTACTTTGTACTGTAATGTAAAACCAAGACCATCTGAAAGGACTAATAACTATTTGTAACAAATTTAACTTCAGCTTCTTTTAGCAGAAGGAGTAAATAATTGTGTTTGAAACCGTCACTCAAGCTTGTAATTTAAATACTGTGGTAAAAAAAAAAAATAAAAACTGTCCCAAAGAAAATATATGAACCCTCTTGGGTACTGTGATTTCTAAATGTATAAAAAGACTGAGAAGACTTTCTGTGAAATTCAAGTAAATGGGCAGTAGTTCCAATAAGAATTTCACGGTCAAACCCAAACCAGAATGGAAAATAAGGATAAAAAGTATAAGATTTGGTTTGTTTTTTGGTGTAGTATATTTTTCCTGGGTGGGTTAGTTTGTTTAATAGCTAAACGAAAAACCAGCTTACTCACAGAGCCTGGTTGCTCTAGACAGGTGGGTTTAGAGTACTAAAATGTGGCCCTACTGCATCATTCTGAAAACAAATTGAGAGGCACTAAGTTTCAGAATTCCTAGTAAATGGTGGGGGGGGTGTATGTCTGTGTGTGTGTGTGTCTGTGTGTGTGTGTCTGTGTCTGTGTTTGAGACCTGGATAGTGGTCACAGGCCATTCTGCTCTTTGAGTTCAATTAAATAAATAATAAACCAATTCCAACTCAACCCAACCCAGCAGCCTCTGGTTTGAACAGGAGCGTTCCAACACCACATTTTGCAACATCCTGCCCCCCTGCTTGGCTCTTCTCCCAAAAGACACAGAATGAGGCTAACCAGAATTTTAGACTGCTGAAAAGGTAGCGGAATACAAAGAGAAAATGAGGCAGTTTTATACACTTTGTTTTGCTTTTGTTATCTTTGTGTTGTTTTCAAGTTGCTCCTCACAGAAAAAATGAGAACTACAATGAAGAGAAAAAACGAGATTTTCATATAACTTCATTGAAATCTGTGAGAAAAATCTCACAGCAGCAAATTAAATCATAACATAGTACCTGACAACCTGGGTGTGCAGCCTAAGAGTGGTCTTTATGTGTAGAAGTAAATTGCTGTTCTTGACAGTTCTTCTGTAAAGACTGGCCTCTGGTTTCAGGAAGACAAGCAGCTGTTGTTCCACTTCCAAGTCTCGATGTGGCTCCTGACCAGAAGCAGTGGTAATCTTGAGGAACCCGGATGGGCTCCTAGAACTGGTCAGTAAACTCTTTTGCCCCAAAGACAGGCTTTGCCTTAGGCTTCAGCTTTGTAGTGGCAGCTGTGCTGATTCAATACTGCTACACACTTTGTTCCCTGAACCTGTCGGTCACCCCTTTCATTCCTTGCTTCTCCTCAACAACTTTCTCGTGAACAGTCTTCCAGCCCTGCCTTTACGAGGAGCTGCTGCAGTCTCTGTTCATGTCTTCAACCCAATGAGTCCCCTTCTGTTCCTTCTGTCTCCCTGCCCTTTACCATTTCTTTCCCAGTATGAAATAGCATTTGCTCTACTGTTCATGGGATCATAACATAAATGAGTTAGGAAGGGGGACCTCAGAAAGTCTGTAGTCCAACCTTCTGCTTAAGGTGGGCTCAACTGAGCTCAGACCCAACGGCTCAGGGCTTTATCCAGTCGGGTCTTGAAACCCGACTGCACAACCTCCCTGGGCATATTCCACTGCTTGGCTGTCCTCAGGGTGACATCCCTCACATTCTCTTCTCCATCTCTTCTCCAAGCTAAACACTGTTTTCTAGCAGCATCCTGATCCTTCTCTCTTGTCCACAACAACTTCCTTCCTGGTAGGAATCCAACATTCTCCTATTAGAATAGGGATCCTGTATGCTTCTCCTTTTCCTCTTCCACCTTACACTCACAAATTCAATGTCAAGATTTTAAAATCAGTAGTGAGGCCACAGGCAAAACTGAAATAGCAATGACAGTTACATCAAAAACTATCGATACCTCTCCCTGATTCGTTAGTGTGTATCTGTGATTTCAAAACTTATGCTGATGCTTGTACTACTCTGAAACAGCTGGTGTTTGAAGGATCTCATGCAGACTTCCATGTGCCATAATGAAATAATCAAATATTTCTCTCTAAAATAGCTACTCAAGGAAGCCTAAAGTATTTAACTATAAAGTCCTTTTTAAAAAACGAATTTTTTAGACATCGCTTCTTTGAGGCTCCATTATATCACTTCTGATTTGTATTACATTGAATTAAATGTCACGGTAATTCATCTTTGGCATAACATTAGCCTGGGGTTTACTGCATTCAGTAATGTCCAGAAATTGTGGTCATCTCTTGAAGAAAATGATGATGGGGAGTAGATGCATGCTGTTTTACAGAGTTGCTCTGTGACAGTTAAGATGTTACAGAATTTATATTAGTGAATTTCAACCAAGGGTCTGAGCCTGTACTTGGAGTCATCCTGAGCTTGTTTTTAATGGCAAACAGGCTAAAATAAAAAATTTAGAGACAGGACTGAAGCACACCCAAAATTTCAAAAGCAGGTCTAATACCAGACCAAAGCTCTCCATTAGTCTAAAAATGTTGAGCTTCCCTTTCTTGGAAACAAGTTTGAACTCAGCTTCACATGACAACAGATCAGTCAGCTCTCTCCTTTTGCTCTTTGCCAAGAAATCGTCTGGCAAAGTGTCATGTTTTAGCCAAGATGGGCCCCTGATGTTAGGACTCATTTGTTAGGCTGTTGGGAAAGTTTCCAGTAACATTTCTGCCAAATGACAGTTAATGATTGTGTCCCATTTCATTGCCTGGCTTTAAAAATGGGTTTAAGCCCCACTATTGTGCTTTCATAGACTGATCAACTTTAAAGCTGTTACCAAAAAAAACTTTCAGAGTGAGAGCTATAGTTTTTTTCAGAAAGTACCCTGTGCCCAGTAGTGCAATGAGAAAACTTCACTGATTTTCACAGTTTTGCCAAAAATATGATCAGATTTCACACTTGCTGTTTGCAATGCATGGAAGCAGTGCCATGACAGTGTTTCCTGTAGCGCACCCCTTCAGCTGGCCAGTATCCGTGCTGTTCTGAGCTGGCAGCCTTGCACGAGAAGGTAACGGTCGCATCAGAAGTGGCGGTGAAAGCATACATGCACTAGAAGCTGAGCAACACGAGGATATTGTCACTTCCACATAAACCTTACACTGAAAAATGTACGTTTGGGGTTTTTTTTTAGCTTTCACTAAGAAACCATCAGTTTTTCTGTACATCATTTAATTAGAGAGAGAGAGCATTAAGCCTCCACTTCTTCTCCAGGAACTGGAATTGATGCTTTTTGTTAGAGATAACATGAATTCTGCCACTCACGTGTGATGCTGAGAATCCTCATGCTTGTACATCTTAATACTTCTGGCTTTTCTGACAGAATTTCTAATGAAACTGATAGTCTCTGAGGCTGTGAGAGTAGCAAGAGTATCTTCATGCTACTTTTCCTGAGCCAGCTGAATTCAGTGCACTATAGAAAGGCCTCACAGAAAAGAAGAGACCAAAAGGTTTGAATCACTAAGGTTTGAATCACTAATGACTATACAGTCAATTTCAACGAGACAAAATATCAGTATCTGCCATCATAGAAACTAGCAATGTTGCTCCACAAAGGCCCACCATAATTAATAGATGAGAGCAAATTTGCAAAGAATTACAAAGAAAAAAATTATATTCTGAGGTTTCTCAGTGACTATTCAAAGATCTGAGGCTTTGTGTACAAGATAGTAACTGAAATAAGAGGAAACAACTTCTCAAGGTTGTACAAAGGTAAACACTGAGTATATTATGGGCAAAAGGACTGCAGAGAGAATGTAATAAAGACCTTTGATCAAAGATGATGCATTTTTATTGGTAAAAGCTGAAAAATACTTCTTATAACTATAATTGGTGTTGGGTTTTTTCCCAATCAGATTTTATAGAAACAGAAAAAAAAAAAAAAAAAAAAAAAAAGCACCCTATTTTAATGACATGAGGAAGGAGAGGGACTAATGGTGAAAATATTGCTGAATTCTTTGTAGGACTCCTTAGGAGGAATTCAAGGGGTTTGTACAAGGTCATGTAGCAGGAAGAAGCAAAGAAGGACCAGAGCTTATAAATCCTATCTTCTAATCTTTTGTCTGGTCCTGGTTCCCACTAAAACAACACAGATTAGGGAAGATAAACGAGTTATTCACATTATCTTTGACTTCACACAGCTTTGAAGACTTTCGTTAAAGATATTTTTATATTCTCATAAATTTTGTGGTGACCTTAGGCAATAAAATTGATTCAAGAGATTAATTTCCTTTCTAGTATGCAGCACTAAGTCCAAATGCAATTTTAACATATTTTTAGTACTTGATATCATCATAGCCATGGTAGCTGGTTGCTATTTACATGTATTGAAGGAAATTGTATCAACAGATCACATGGGAACACATAGTATAATGGCAACTCCTATCATCAGAAAATGAGGCTCAAGCCATCTGTAGTCACTTTGTTTGCCATCTAACCCTTACTACTCATGCTCTGTTAACTACCAGGAAAGTAACAGTGCTCAACAGAGCAGGCCCTATTGAGAATCCTATTTAAAAAATCAAGCCACACGCTCACAGCTCTGCGGGGCTTCACACAATACCTATCACCGTGCCAAGAGTGAAGAAACAAAGCAATGTGGAAAAAAAGAGTGGTCACCAGATTCTGCCTCCCAGTAGAAATGAAGTTCTTGTGAAGCACAGAAATGTTCTGACCATAAAGTGGATGCTGTCGTCACTGTCTGCAAATGTGAAAGATAAAAATAATTGCAACTGTTCTTGCCATCCCTCAAAATGCCTTTAAGAACCTTTTTTTCCTTTCAATTTTTAGATTATTGAAAGTTTCCCCTTAGCTGAAGGCGAAGAGGAATAAGCAAGGATAATTTCTTTTTTTTTTTTTTTTAATTAATTTGGCGTGTACTGTCTCTCATATTTTTCTATAAACAGGGAATTGTTTTTCTGAGCCAATTCACTGCTGGGTAATAGCCCATGGTTTACCTACAAAGGCAAAATAGACAGCTATTAGCAATAAGTGGCTCATATATTATAAAACAGTCCCATTAAAAAGAAGCAGCTCTATCGACTCATGCAACAGGATGATGAAACAATATTTTCAGTGAACTGTCTGAATTTTGCAATGTGGAGCAAGCCTTGCACAGCCCA